AGTCCAAAATGTCATCGAACAAGACCAAAATGTCGTGGACAATAAGTCACCAATGTCGGAGATACAATCTGTGATGCCGCCGAGTATCAACCCCAACAATCTCCAAGTCTCGAATCCGTTAAGTACCACAGCCTCTTACCACCGAAGTCCAACACTGATCTCTGTCCAACTAGTATCAAGTCTCCAGTCTGAAGAAGAAGAAGAAGTCTGAAGAAGAAGAAGAAGTCTGAAGAAGAAGAAGAAGAAGAAGAAGAAGAAGAAGTCTGAAGAAGAAGAAGAAGAAGAAGAGAACAGAGGAGGAGGGAGAGATGAGGAGGTAGGGAGGAGGTAAGTCCTCACTTCCCTGTCCTGGTCCTAGCCTTACCTGCAGGTGCAACTAGGAGTCCTCTGAAGCCTCCGGCTATGGCGCCACAGGTAGGTATCAGGTAGGTTCCTCGCTCCTCTCGATCCCAGACTGCAGCCTAGTGCTAATCCTGCGCTGCTGCTGTAGCGCTGCGCGTGAACCCAGAATAGCGCAGCGCTCCTCCGTACTGCTGCTCAACCGAAACGAACTGGCACTACTGCAGCGTCCAGTTGCTCGATGCCTCCAAGTGAGGCCGGCCGGTCTCTAAGTACCGGTAGGGCAAAGGCCGGCCTCAATGCTGCGAGGCCTGGCCGTGACCTGAACCGTCAAGATCGGCGGTTCAGATCAGACCGGCGGGCGGCAGCCTCAAGAGCGCCGCCAGGCCCAAATGGTAATGTCGTTTGGGCCTGCCCGTCAGGTCTGGTCCAAAAATGTGGCCTAAGGGCCAACCGGTGGGCCTGAATGGCGCTACCGGTCTAAAGGTCCGGCCTTGGGCCTGGACCGGCCTCCGAAACCCCTATCCGTCGGGCCTAACTGGGCCCGTGTGACATAGTATGTAACATGTCCTCTCTTTCCCCCGAAGACCACCCCTGCGCCTCACTGTAGTCCAAGCCCACCAGCTATGGTGGCTGGGCTATAGCGCTGCCCTCAGCAGCGCCCTTCTTCCCTGCACGACCGCACGTGCTGCACCTCGCCTCTCGGCGCCAGCCAGCAGCCGCGAGCCTTTGCTCCAGCAGCGCTGCCGCCAGCATGCGAGTGCCTGAATGAGGCAGCCAGGGCAGAGCTCTTTCCTTTATGGAAAGAGTTGGCCTGCTCGCGCAGCCTGGCTGCACTGGCCTGGGCCCAGAAGCTTCCGGAAGGCCCAAGGAGGCTGCCTGTGTACAACAGCTACTGGGCTGATGGGCCTCGTTCGGTTGGGCGCCAAACTGTCTCTGTACGAGGCTGCGAATCACGCCCAGGGCCTGCATTCT